TTATATTTTCATTTTATTTAAAATCTAAAATTAATCAAAAGTAATCTTAAATTTGTTTTATTTTATTTTTAAATAAACTCAATAGGAAATCAACAAACATATGGTAATTCAACATTAGCACCATACGGTGCATTAGTTGGCATAGCATCAACTAATGTTTCAGCCTATTCAAATGGAAATGATACAATCATATCTAATGAATCTAATTATCTTTATGGTATATATACGGGTATGAGATGGCAATGTGTTGAATATGCACGTCGATGGCTTTTTATACGTAAAGGTTGTGTTTTTGATAGTGTTGATGCAGCCAATGATATGTGGAGTCAATTATCTTTTGTTCAACGAGTTGTTGATGGTAAATGTTTTTCTTTAAAAAAATATCAAAATGGTTCAAAGAGTCCACCAAAAAATGAATCATTACTTATATATAGTCTTGGTGAAGATATGCCATTTGGACATGTTTCTGTTATAGTCGATGTTTTAAATGATTCAATTCGTGTTGCTGAACAAAATTTTCATACATATTATTGGTCGAGTAATTATTCTCGAGAAATTCCATATATAATGAAAAATGGTAGTTATTATATTATGGATAATTATAATATTTATGGTTGGATGTCAGTTGAAGATAATAATCAAACTTATCCATTGAATCAATCAATTATAGATAAAATCCTTCGAAAGAATATATCATTTCCTGATTTTATTTGTTCAAGAAGTATTAAACATTATTATTATTCATTATATCAATATCTTGTTTTTTTATTTCTTTTATGTCTATATTTTAATTAACTTTCTTTTCTGATCTTGCATTTGAATATACTAAAATCAAGTTTACTTAGTTATTTTCTTAGTATGAATATATTTATATTCGAAATCTGATAAAACAAATTAAACTGACTTTGTTTTGTTGTTTGTTTTTTTATTTGAAAGTATCTAAATAAAAATAATAATTCTTCACAAGAGTATAAACATATATTCTTAGAAAAGTAAATAAAATTTCCGAGCTAGTATACATATTAATTAATATTAACTCGATAATTCATTTTCGAAGATTTAAAGCTTTGTAAAGCATTGATTAAATTGATAGTAAATCAATAGTTCTATATATATTGAGGTTTAAAATGATATTCTTTTTATCATTTATAAAAATATTTTTGTTTTGTATCAAATATTTCAAACGTCTAAAAAATATTCATTATTAGAATAGGACAGTGTCAAAGGGACGACTTGATTCTATTTTCTAAAACAAAAAAATATCGAGAAACACTATTAATTACTTTGAATTTTTAAAAACAGAAAAAAAACGTCAATGTTTTGTAGAACTCATATATATTTTTGAAGAAAATTATGAGTGTAAGTTTTAAATCGAAGTTTGGCGACTCTTCATTGCCTTCTCTTCACCATAGACATCCTTCATTACATACTTTAGTAACTGAAAAAAAATAGACATCAGATTTCTAAAAGTTATTTTTTTAAATTAATAAAATTTTAACTTTGAAAAATAATGAAAAACTCTTTATTCGAAATCCAGAATTTAGAGAGTTCCTTATGTAAGCGATCGATTATCCTATAAAAAAAACAATGGTGTACAAAACATTTTTTACTTGACGCATATTCTATTAGATTAAGTAGGTTAGAGAGTATATGTGAGTTCGACATTTCAGCCCCATGGAGGTGTGCTAACTAGATTTTTTTGAATAAATTATACATAGAAACACGATAAATAACTGTATTTGTCATCGTTTAAAAGAGACTGTTCCGGTGCACGGTTTCATATAGTATTCATCAATATTGATTCACATTTCGATGGTCAGTCGATAATCTCACAGCTAATAGTAAAGAGACCATACCATAACGATTAGAATGATAGAAAATTGTACAGACTACAAGAGATTACTATACTACAAATATATAGAGATTTAACATTTTTATGTCATTTCATTCAGAAGTTACAAGCATTTAAAACAAATCATAATCATAGTATCATATTGACTATTTGAAGTATTTTTTAATTCTGTTTTTTCAAAAGTTCATGAGTCAGACGTCTAATATATTTTTCATTATTCTTATTTAGACCGAATTGTTCGATTTTGAATATGACTTGTCATAGTCATAATAAATTATCAATACAACACAGAAATTTCGTATCAGAATGATATTTTTGATTTTTACTTTTAAGCAGTTCTTTAGAATATTCCTAGCAACAGATGATGCATACTTATGTTAGTTTCTGCTATTAATATAAGATTAACCATAAGGCAACATCTATTATCGTTGCACAGTATATCATCAATTATATCTAGTCACAATTGTATTTATGATTTATTTTTTGCTTACAATTTACAATTAATCTTGAAAAGCCCGTTATTCATGCTGATTAAAGAGAGAAGAATCTCTTTTGTTTCTTAGAAGAAGAAAGGGAAAAACGATTGAACTAGCTTATAATAATACTGAAACTGAATCATAGATATGAAATAAGACAGGAATAGTTATGAGCAGAGCTTAGAATTGACAGGATTCGGAATCAATCCATTTAGTACTACGTTCTATCCTATTTCTCAAATCGTTATCAAGGGTGTGGGTGTGGGGTGACGGTGTGGCTGTAAGTGTGGATATTAGTCTACATTTCTACAACACACACACCCACACCCCGATTATATTTCTATATATGGTGTACCATTGGTTATAGCACCATCTAGCGTCGATGAACGCATGCTGTTCTAAGAGTCTTCTAAGAACTAGCTCACCAATAAGTGTTTTTAAAAAAAATTCTGATCTTATGCTAAAAATGTTGTCAAAAATTGGTTTTCTTGGTTTCCTAAACGCTACAAACAGTTCCAGTCAAATTGAAGTCAAGCTTCTAGACAATATTCTCTCATGTGGAATCTATCATTAATTATCGCATCGAGCAAACTTATTCAATGTGAGCTCAGTTACTAGCTTCCAAAAAAATCCTATTTTTGAGCGTTGGTGTGGATATAGCTGTCATTGAGTGAATAGTAACACTCACCGCCAATTGATACAAAGAATTATCTGCAGTCATCCATTTTCCAGTAAATTCGTTTCCCCATGGTGTATCTATGAACGCTTCGAAAATTTCTATTGATGTATAGCTTTTCGGTTGACATTGGCCAAAATCATTCTGTAATAGACGAAGTAGAACAATATATTGTAATGAGTGCTTCCAAAAGCTACAACGACCGATCGAAATCTTATCAATATACAGCAAAATTTCGATTTGAAGTACTACAAACATTTCCGCTTCTTTTCATCTTATAAGTAATGTATACTGATTTTAATAGTTAGTGCCTATCATGACAAAAATACATCCCAAGTTAGGAGCGAAAACAAAAGTAACCAGATAGAAAATAAAAGAATACATTTTTTCGCCAGAGCAGAAGCTCGACTATTAAAGATAAATGACACGCTTGTTCGCTTTGCTATTAATATTGTGTATATTTATTGAAAAAAACAATCAAATTTGAATCAAATGAATGAAAAAAATAGGCAAACTCAACTGAAAACATCGAATTTTCAAGTGTATAGCTCTAAATTAATATTTGAGTTCGTTAGTTATACTATGATAATCGGAATCTAAATCTGTTGATGAATACTCTTCAATAGAGTGTCAAATTGATTTTTGCCGTGACTAAGTAAATCAAGAAGATGTTGGCGCGCTTTTTGAACTACACCATGCCACATGGCAGAATACGAAGCAAAATGTATGGGTGTGAATAAACAAAGAAATGACACCCACACCCCAACATAAATAAATTGTAATATCGTAAAACTACCAACAAAAGTTTTCTGACACCACATTTCTTGTTTATAGTGCTTACAACGTGATGATACGACGATTAAGCTACTAATTCCCTTATACATCAACTGATCGAGGTCGGGCTAGTGTCTGTGATCAAGGTTCACTGAGTTCTATTCATGGTGAAAATATGAGCCCAAATGGTTGAGGTTTTGATACTTTTCATGTAGTAGTGGGATGTTTTGCGATTACTGTATTTAAAAAAGTCGTGAACAGAGCTCATGTCTTTTTGTTTTTCACTCAAAACATAAGAAAAGAAAACGACAAGGAGTATCGATAGAATGTAATAAAACACACCACGTTCTACTCTTTTCCACAGAATAACATTCTTCTATTACAAAAGACAGTCTCAAACTAAAAGATAAGTTATAATATTTGACTAATATACAGTGCGTCTTTTGTGGAACTCACGTATATTGGTATAGAAAATATACGTGAGCATAAGTATTAAGTCGAAGTTTTTGTGACTCCCTCTTCCACCATTACAAACTTCAGCTGTTGAAGAAAATAGGCTCCAAATTTTCTAAACTATTTTTGCAAAATTAATCAAGTTAAAATTTAAAAAAATAATGAATATTATTTTTCATGTGTTAATTATATTTTATAATAGTGTATTAAATCTGGTGTAGATATAATCGACGTGTAAAACAGACTTGTTTCCCATTCTATGCATATGGACGATACAATGTATAAATGGCATAGACTTTTAAGAGAGAACTCACGAGCACATTGAGGATGGTATCATACAGCTGTAATATGAAAAAAAAATGTTTTCTAAGAACATGTTCATCGTGTTCTACGCTATCAGAAATTCAAAAATGCAAATTTTTAGACTAAAAAAGTCTTTACTTTCTGACGGTATGAATCTTTTTTAAGTGCAAGAAGTTCGAGGTTTTCTTCAAAAATGCCATTTAATGTATCTTCAAATTTTATTGCGTTCTGTTCCAGCTCTATCCTATTCGAAAGTAATCGGTAACACTTGTCCATTACGTAACTGTAGATAATTCGAAAGCAAAAAGAACATTAAATGAAATAAAATACATATTTTCTTCTTTAGTTCAATGTTGCCATTAGCAATAGATAGCGATACTTTGAGAAATCATCATCACTAATAGAAATATACTTAGGGCAATCCAAAAGTAGTGTCGTCAGGGTCTTACTACCTTAATATAGGGGAAAAAAAATTTCTCTTTTTTATAAATAGATAGAGCGTCTTTCACTCTATCTTCCTATGCTATTTGATCGACCTTCACTCCACATTGAATTTTTTGATGCATTTGCTAAATTTTTTTTCCATTTTTTCATGTAAACCTTTATATTCATAACGTCGATCACGAAATGCACGAACTGTATCAACATAAAAAGAATTTTCACATTGACATACAGTTGTTTCTCATGTTTCTTCTCATGTATGATTCACTTTTTTATATGCTTTTTTGTTTGCTGCATGAGTAGTATCTTGAGGATAGTATCGAAGAACATTGTATATATTTTTGTGGTATTGCGAATAGCATGAATTTTCATCGTAATGACTTTCACCGTAGACTCCCAACAATGGCCGAAAAGGTATTTCCCCATTTCAGACATTGCCCTCATCCTCACCAAGTGCTGTGTGTGCGTGTTAATCATGTCAGCAGTATATTAATTGCATTTAAAGTAAAAACGAATGCTACTGGAAGTCAACTGCGAAAGTCACTACGGCGAACTTCCTGTTTCCCATCAATCAGTACTCCACTAATTATAGTCACACTAATTAGTATTGATTTAAATAGTTAAGACTAATTAGTACCTGATCACTGGATACTTAACTAATTAATATTCAATCAACGACTACTCAATTAATCAATACTCAGCTAATTAGGAATCAAATTATTAACTACTTAGACAATATATAATGGTAGAAATCTATGTTCAACTTTGAAGGAGCCTGTCCCTAGTATATAATTCTCTCCCGAAACACGTTTCTCTTTGT